ATTTTTAATTTAAAAAAAAAAACACAAACTCAAAAACTTTTGGTTCTTTTTTTTATTACACCACAATTAATTTTTCAACGTATTGTAAAAAAAAAAAAAAAAAAAAAAAAAAAAAAAAAGTTTTCATTCCGATTTTGTTGTGAGCTTAAAGTTTTATAAAAAGAAAGGGAAGAGCAAAAGCTTAAAGTGAGGAAGACTTGAAACTTTGGTTGAAATTGAGAAATGGTGGGTTCACAGCTGGGGATGTAAGAGTTTAAATTAGGGGAGAAGTCAGACTTTGCTGAATGCTAGCAATTAGCAATGAGAAACGAGAAATGAAAGATGTGAAGTGCACTGGCATGGTGCAATATAGTACAGTACACGGCACGAATCGATGTTAGCCCTGGTGCTCATGTCCTTCAATAGGGTGTATTTCAGTCTATAAGTATGGTGTATCGATCTCTTGGAAGGCTCTTGTATGCAAGATTCGATACAATTTTATAGCTTAAACAAGCCTGGGCTGATAATTGAGTTCACCGTAGGTGGGGCAATCCTTGGCTATAATATGTACATACATAGACATATATGGTGGAAGCAGGATATGTTCGCGTTGGACACTTTGGTACTGGCTGGGGGACTGTGGGGTAGTGTACTGTTGCTTATGTTTTTTTTTTTCGTTCTGCTGAGATACAAGGAGTACCGTTTGCTGTGCCTTGTGTGGTTTCATACAAACATCGCTCACTCCATCATCTAGATAACCTAATAGTGAATAAGAAGTAGTGAACAAAATAAAAAAAATAAAGATGCTTAATTAGAAAGAAGCTACCCAGTACAGTAGAACTGGGCTTGGAATAAAAAAAAAAAGTGCACAATCTCCTCTTTCATATTTCTCTCCATCCTGACTCCCTCAATTCTCTTAGTCTGCGTCTAGATCTCTCCTTGGTCGCCTCTCCTGCCTTCTCTTCCCTAATCTCCTTTTACCTTGTAGATCGTTATCACACCGCTAGCACAGAAATCCAATATCAAATGGTCGTGCCCAGGCTCAAAAGCATCTCCTAGCGACATGGTTTTCACTAAGACGAAGTAAGAAAAAAAAAGAGAAAACTACCAGGAAGCAGTAAACTCATCCACATCTAGCGGTAACATGAGCATTTCTGAGATTAAAGACTTCCTTGTCTTACCTGTTGATCTTCCAGGTGCCAAGGCGCCTCACTACATATATTTCAAGAAGCATAGCGGGAAATCTAGCACTGATGGGCAGAACAATTCATTATTTTTATTCAACTTACCAATAAACACTACAACTTCTACGATCAAAAAATATCTCCTGTCTGTGGCTATCGGAGCCACTTTAGAGTCTTTTGCACCCAGTCTCTTGACTAATTACCCCGAGGATTTTTGGATCGATTTGACCAAATTGACGTCAGACCTTGAGTTGCTGACCAACTTGAACAGTAACATAGATCAAGACTACAACACCGGTAACACTATCGGAGCCAAGCTTCCTAAACACTGTGGGATTCTCACTTTTATTGACAAATCGTCATTACAACTAGCATTTACATCATTGAAGAAACTCTCTTCTAACCAAACATCTTCCAAGTGGCCAATAGATGAGGCCAACTTCGGAGGATCTTCATATTTCCTCAGCAAGTATCAAGGCCAGATATTGGATAATGAATGGTTATCCGGAATAGTTTCTCAATCATTAATTGACTTTGATGCCGCAGAGCAGAAGTCTATAAACGATTTACAACAACTGACGGAGCTTGTGGATGAAGATGGGTTCACTTTGGTTGTCGGGTCTCACAGAAAGACTAAGGCAAGTATCTTAGGAAAACAAAAGTTGGCATCTACAGTGGAAGTGGAAAGAGCACAAAAGAACCTCAAAAAGAAGGAAAAGGATGATTTCTACAGATTCCAGTTGAGACAAAGGAAGAAGGATGAAATGAACGACTTGTTAAAGAAGTTTAAGTTGGACCAAGAAAGGGTTCGTTTAATGACTGAGAAGAAGAGATTCAGGCCGTACTAAACAGTATAAAAGAGAAGCATTTTTTCGAAAAGGAAAAAGATATGGTTCTGCAGAAGAGTGCTAAGACCAAAACGTAACAGAAAGACCACTGTGAGCTCTCTGGGAGCTCTCTGGAGGTGGGCAGATATTGGCATTTTTTATTGGCATTATATCCACATGTACAAATAATATAGATAGATAGATATAGATAGATAGAGAATGAGTAATTTAATTTATTGAAGGATTTGAACATATACCACTGGAATTCCGTAACACCATATCTGTATCATAGCATGTAGCTCTAGTCTACAGCCAAATGTGGTACTTCTTCACCAGAAATTGAGACCTGCATATAATCTACCATCGGTATGGTTCTTGAACAATTTTGCAACTCTACGGAGGTTGAAAAGAGACAGGCCACGGAAGATCAACCCTATCTATTCAACCAAACACGTTTCAGACTCTTCATTAAAATGCTGTTTGAGGGTGATCCTAGTCTAGAGTACTTGAACAGTTATATGGAGAAATTGTACAATCCTTTCAATGTTGAGTTTGACTTGTTGTCTACCATAAGATACGATCCCAACCTCACGCCTGCTCCTCCTTCTTCTGCCAGTGACATCACTAGACAGAATTTCTTTCTTTTTAAGGAACATTTCCAGAGACTTCTATTCACGCTCAAATACTTCCAGATCCAAATGCTGGAGGAAGACGAAAAGGATGCTGGAAATTTCAGTGTCACTGAAGATTTCATTTTGGAACGGCTCATTGAGTCCATTGATAGGTCTCCATTGTCGGTTACTCAGCCAATGAAGATCCGTATGTTGGTTTCATTGCAAGGAGAGTTGAAAATTGAGTTGTACACCACTCCTGAGAGACCCAATCTACTTGAAGCTGTGAAAAACAGAGATGGTGTTGATATTAATGCTGGCGATATTTGGGATGTTCGCATAGACTCTGAGCAAACATTGATCTCACCCTTTACGTCATTTAAAACCACTAACAGGTCTGTGCATACGGCAGCAAGGAACAGAGGCATTCCGGGCCTCAAGCCTGGCTTGGAAGAAGTAATTATGGTAAACCAAGAAAACATGGCGATGGAAGGCTCCATTACAAATATTGCAATTAAACGAGACGGTGCTTGGGTAACCCCTGACTTGAGCTCGGGATGCTTGTGTGGGGTCGTGAGGCATTACTTGCTTCATGAAAAGTTCTTGAATGAGGGCAAAATACACAAACTGGAGCTTTCTCCGGGAACGGAAGTGTTGCTATTCAATGGAGTTATGGGCTTGGTTAGAGGGTACATTGTCGATTAAACGATGAGTAGAATCAATGGACGTATATTATCTACATGTCGTGCGATTGTACTTGTGCTGTTCTATTTCGTCTATTTAATTAATTTACTTTGTTCATCATCATTGTATCCCATGATATACAAGATGTCTTGCAAAGACTTTGTATTCAAACAACATGGGGCCAATTGTTGGACCTTTGGCTTTGCGTTCCATGCGACACCAAATCCTCCGGCAGCCATCATATTCAAGTCGTTAGCACCATCACCAACGGCAACAGCCGTTTGGGGGTCAATGTTGTGCTTTGCTGCAATTTCAAGCAATAACTCGGCCTTTTTATCTCCATTGACTATCATACCCTTCGTGGTACCATCCAAAATTCCTTCCGCGGTAGTGCTCAATTGGTTGGCGTATGCATAATTTAAACCTAATACGGTCTTAACGTGTTCAGCTAACGGGATAAATCCACCGGAGCAGACAGCCATCACACAGTCTAAAGATTTCAAAGCTTTACACAATTCCAAAGCGCCATTGGTGATTTCAATTTTAAACTTTAATTCTTCCCATATAGTGGTTGAGTCGATCCCCTTTAACAACTTGACTCTTTCCTTTAACGATTCCGTGAAATCTAATTCACCATTCATTGCCCTTTCAGTGATCTCTGCAACACGATCTTCGATTCCTGCATACGCGGCGATAAGTTCAATGACTTCTTGATAAATTAACGTTGAGTCCATGTCAAAGACAAAGAGCTTCTTGCTGGACCTTGATTCAACTTTCTGGAATATGACGTCAAATCCATGACCTGGCGCTATTATTTCAGATTTGAGCGAAGCGGAGACTGTGGTTGGCTCCTGAGAGTTTATGTCAACATAGTAGTCAATGACTCTGTTCGAATCATTGGTTAGCGTTTTCTTAGAAACCGTAGTACAGTTCAAATCGGTGATTATTTGTTCCACTTTTCCAATGTTTTGCTCAGATAACATGGAGCCGTGAGAAATCACCGTGAATACATATGAAGACATGACTGGGTCCGATAAGTTAATGAATATGGACGTAGCTTGTACCCATTGGTAGTGTCTAATAATTTTTCTTGGATTGAAAATTTTGGCTAAAAGTCATTTTGACGCACGTGATCGCACAAGTGACTCTGTAACAAAGATTTGACTTGGTTTGGTTTAGATTAGTTTATTACCATATATAATACTCATTGGGATTGTCTAATATCTTCTTCTATTGAAGAGTTAAGTTGGTATATATACAAATGAACGAGACCTGAGGCTTCATCTTCTCTTAAGCCGTTTCTTCCACCTTCAATCTCAAGTCGTACTCACTCAACCCAATTTCACAGCCAAGTCTTTCAAAGTTATCCGAGTAAATCTTCTTCTTCTTTTCAGCCATAGCATTCATCTCTTGCCAGTAAACGTCATGAATGTATTCAAAGTCTATCATCCCGTCAAACTCCTTGTCCAATTGTTCCTTGGGGACGAAGTTTCCGAACGGTTGGTCATAGATAGTCTTCAGTCTGGTGTAAGGATCAATAAAAGGTCCCACCACCTTGAAAAATGTGTACCCAATCCATGGAATATTAGTGAAAAGTCCTCTACCTAATCTCTCTGGGTAATGGTTCTGCAAAATGTGTAATACTTGCTTGGAAATGGAAAGAGATGGGAACTTGGATGACAACTTCATTTCTGCAGGTGCTGCTTTGAAATCAATAAGTAATGCCAACAGATCTTGACCTGGAGGCATAAATTGTATCACTCTCTCGAGCATGAACACTAAGTGCTGCACTTGTCTGATGGAAGGAGAGGTATTTTGGTACCCATTACGTAAGTACAAGCATGGTCTGTTATCGTTATCGTAGCCAACAATAAGGTTCTTACCGGTCAAGTTTTCTGGTTCTACTAATTCTGGAGTGACCACCTTTGAAGGCTCAGTCACATTAGGAATATTCACCACACCAAAGGTTCTTCTCCAAACAATTGTCTCTTGGATACGTTGAATGGCTTGGTCTGTTTTCCACTTGGTGGCTCTAAGGTACCTCAAAAAGCATTCCTTGGTGAGCCATGCCTTTTCTTCCAATAAGATAGGGTGGAACTGGTCGCAATGATGCTGGTCGTTCACCGGGATTTTGTCGGATTCTATATATTTCTTGAAATGCTCGAAGACCAAGTTGTACTTGGCCTGTTGTTCCTCGGTCAAGTCAAAAGTAGGTGGTTTGACGGGAGAGACCGGTTTATCAAAGGGGGTGTGACGTTTAATGTACTTCTTGCTAGTGCTGGGGGTGCTTGAATTGGTGGTCTTGCTAGTGGTGCTTGCTGCTGTGCTTGAAGGTACAGACGAAGTCGTGGACTTTGAAGAGACTGATGCGAGGTCTGTGGTTGAATTCGATTTGCTTGTGTTAGCCTCTTTAGACTCGTCTTTCCTTCTGAAAATGTTCATCGTTTGCTACGCTGTTCTTTCCTTGCCCTTCCTACTTGGTGGATCTGTGTTGAATAGTTACTTTTCCGGCTGAAACTCGCTCGTTACCCTGCAAGAAGACACACCTACTGCTGCCCTGGTTCATTCGGCACGCGAGTGAAAACGTAACCGAAATAAAATTACATCGCATGTCTGCAGCACACCAAAACGCGAAACTTCCCAATCGAGGCTCCCGCATCAGCGATATGGCACAAAAAAAAGCCATGGAGCCAAGAGGAAGAACGCTTGTGGGGAGTACGGAACCAGGTGGATAGCGAACATACATATATATTTATATGTATATATTTAGGTAAATACTTGGTGTATAATGCTGTCTGCTAAACTTTTGTCATCCTCTAAGAGCGAACAGCGCCCTGTAACCGCTCAGTATATAACTGATATACTCACCAGTTCGTCCTCATTTGATTCCAGTGAATTGATCAGGCACATTCTTGAAGATGTGCAGAAGAAATCTTCCAAGCATAAGTTTTTGGTGAATGTTACGAAGATAACCAGTAGCGACGATAGTGAGTGTAGTGCCGCTTCGAACTTTGGAGCTGTATGGGACAGCGAAAAGGACGGGTACTATAGTTTTGAAGTACTGCTGGAGGAGCACAAGTCTACCATTGTTTCGATATATTGGGTCTATATAAGCTGAAGGTGAAAAAAAAAAAAGAAAGAAAGAAAAGAAAAGAAAAGATTATGGAAATGGAAATGGAATTGGAATTGGAATTGAAATGGAATTGGAATGGAACTGGAATGGGTACTTAGATGAATAAATTGTGACGAGCCTCATTCGTCGTTTGATTTCAAGCATGCTACTCGTCACTTCAGGGGCTAGGACCACCTAAAAGTTAGCAATCGCCAATACATACCCACTAACAATAACCAATTGTAAGCTTGTACCACTTTTCAATGCTTTTCTAATGCTTCTAAATTGAAAAGTGCTTCGATCTCTGTGTTTACCTTGCTACTGCTCATCTAGCAAATTGAAAAGTGCTTCGATCTCTGTGTTTAATTCTCTCAATTGCAGCGTGTTCCCCTTTATGCTCGATAAGTGCCTAGATAGTAGCTCAAGCATGCCTGCCGTATCTTCATCCTCGTTGGGATTGAACTTGGACTCGCTTTTTCTTTTCTTGATTATTCTACATTCGCTTCCCTTATCTATGGGACCATCAATTGACAACAAACTTCGCTTCTTGCTGATTTCATTTCTCATTTTGCTGTTTTCTTTCGTTGTACTTCGCCTGAGTTCGCTTAAATATGTCTTATCCTGCTCGAGCACATTCTCGTACAGCTTAAAGTTCTTTTCTAACTCGTTTAATTGCTTTAGCTCTGCCAGGAGATACGTCTCCAAGTATTTCTTTCTTCTCACTAGTTTATCGTAGTTGAAAGTATCTCCACCACCAGTGCCTTTATATCCAAAAGAGGAAGAACTCTTGGTTGTCGGCAAGGGCAAGGAAGTCTCTTTTAACCTTGATGCGAAGGAAGATGTATTCCTCGAAGAGAGCCATCCATCCCTTAGCACTTTTTGTGCTTCAAGCATCTTCTTGGGAGGTTCTAGAGCTTTCTTGCTGCTGCCTTTCACAGGAGCGGGAGCATACCTTTGGATGGATTGATTGACACACATGGATAGTATCCTTTGGATAGAATCAATAGAGTCTAAAGACAAGGGACTCCAAAGCCTTTCAATAAGTCTCCCTGGAACTTTGCTTTTCACACTCGAGCGTGAAATCGATTGCGGGTCAACCACATAGTCTGAATCGGAGTCCGAGGTTTCGTCATATTTATTGGCATTCTGATCTACAGAAGTTGTGTTTTCCAATGCGTTCTCTTGTGAAGTATGAATCGTTGCTACTTCGGGTTCAGTGGTGTCTTGTGTTGGCTCGGTATGGACAGCTGAAAGTCTCCTTGAGTGATCTGTGGAGTCATGGCCCTCCACTGATTCTTTCAGCTTGGATTCACCTCCAATGACGGGGTTTATGCTGGTGTCAGTCGGGACAATTGAAACTCTCCTTGGGAGATCGGATAACTCTTCGCTCTCCACTTCTTGCTTGTCAGATTCACCCCCAGCCTTAGAATCTATCTTATCGTCAGTCTCAAAGAATGATGGTGCTACTTCCTGAGTGTTATCAGCACTTATTCCTAGTTCACTGTCACTGCTCATTTTTATAAACTTATATTAATTGCTCCTAGTTTGTCCTCTGTAAACAGCTCATCTTTGGTTCTGTAACGGTCTTGATCTTCATGTTTTGTTTATGTATATGTGTGTACTGCATATAAATTGCAACCATTTTCAGTTTCGGTTACAAAAGTGTTTGGGTGCAAATTTGATGGAGCTATGAAAGGAAGATAAAGGGATAGTGGGATAATGGTGCTTTCGTTTGGGGGCAACTCATGAACCTTTGCGAGTTATTAGTGTTTTAAAATTGTGTTGTCTACTAGATATGTCCCCTAATAAAAACACAACTACACTTTGGTTTACATTTCTTTATTTGAATCGTGAATTTTTACTCAGTTGTTCAGAACCTCAGGATATATTACTTGTGGTATCTTTTCTATAAAATCACCTACCTACATCAATGCTTGCTTTTAATTTCCCTTCGACCCAGTTATTGCATCCTTCCAAGATGTCTGGCGTCACACCACATTCATTACACAACTTCTCCATCAAATACTTCTCCACTAGTATCATGTTATGGACTACATTTGAAGATGTATTTGAACTTGAGCTTGAACTTGAGCTTGAACTTGCGTTCGTCGGCTCACTTCCATAACCAGTGAAAACCACTGCTTCGTCTAGACTATTGTTATCCACGACACTGGTTTTCTCGAGATCGAGTTTTCTCTTACCAGAAGATTTATACTCTTGTTGATCAATATTAAATATTTGAAATAGTCTCTTGTCCATCATTGGAAGTTCTTCCAATTCAGCTCCCCGATGGTCAGCATTCTCATTATTGCTTTCAATGTTAAAAGTCTTGTTTTTCTTAGGAATGAGGTTTTCATACACCCACTGGCAATATCTGTTTATCTTCATGTCAGACCAACCTAGTATGTCTTCTTCAGCATTGTTAGTCTGTGAAATGGGGAACTCATGGTCAAGTTCATATTGTGTGATATTTTGCAACCAAGTACTTACATCAAAGACAGTCTTCAGATTTTTAGTGGGGTTGAACATAAAGTAAAATTTTATTGTAGTAATGATCAAGCTAATCATTTTCAACTCGGGGAACTGAACTATGCATCTTTTAGGAATCCCTTTGGATTTCCAGAGTCTTTTGGGGATTGATAAGTTTTTCAAATCTTTGTCAAGAACAGTAAAGCCCAACTCCTCAGCTTCATCATCATCTCTGACAATCTTTGCACATAATTTAGTCCAAAGTATGAAAAGATCTGGGGCATTGGGGAAGAAAAGAACCTTCGATAATATTTTGAGAATCAAGGGATAATAGTAGTTCGCAGAGAGTTGAACCTTTTGGAATTTCACTCTTTTCCCTATTATTTGAATGTTTTCGTACAATTCATTTTCAAGGGGGAGCTTCTTGGGCTCTAATAGGCCCATATAGTACGGTGGTAGCCGATCAAGTAGCGATTTAGGGATCAAATGAAAACATTTCATATACGGAATATCATTCTGCTTAATAGAATAAAGTAGATCGTGAGCATATATGGGCAATTTCAATTGCAAGACTGATAAATATATTATGCAAATCAAGTCTATGGTCGTTGGAAGGGACGAGTTTGGATCGTTTAATTGAAGATCGGGTCTATGTCCCTTTTCTGCTGTGGCTCCGTCGTTTATTCCTGGACTTACGCCGTGCCCATCTCCAGCTCCGTGGTTTTTGTTCTTGTTCTTCGTGGTATTGTTAATACTATTATTATTGGTGTCTGGCATAAGGTAGCTTTTTAGCGTTCTCAACCAGTATAATTTAACCAAAGGCTCAATTTCGCTTTCAATATCAAACTCAACACTCTCCAAACATAACTTGATTACTATCTTCAACTGTTTCTGGAGTAAGATCTGTATACATTGTAAGTAGAGTTCCTTTGCAGCTTTACCGTACAATTTTTTATTCTTGTTCGTACCACCAAGAATATTAGCTCTTTGAGTCTGTGAGTTCAGAAAGTCTCCTCCTAAACCTGTGAGATTTATATTAAGTCTCTTGGTTTGTATGTAGTTATCATCTTGATCGTCATTGATTTCGATGTTACCCTCCATAACATGCCCATATTGGCAAATTTTTAACCCATCTGCTGACCTATAGAGTCTAGATGTACAGTTGTCAACACCGCAAATAGGGCCCCGCACCCATGACTGCGACATGGAATCCTATTTATCTGTCACTTTGATCGGTTGTGGGTATTCTTTGCAGACTGTGATTTTTTTAATAGAGATCTTTATATCGGTACTGCATGTAAGGCTGCAGGTTTCGAGATGAGTATGCAAGTGTTTAGCTAGCTTTAAAGCACAAATCGGTAGTGAAAACACTGTCAAGAATAGAAGGAAAGTAGGATCAAGCAGATTTATGGTTTAGCAAAAACAGTGATAGAAGAAACGGATCTAAGAAGAATGAATAATATTAAATAAGGAGTTCAAATTTCTAGATGCAAGAGTACTTCTGGCGTCCCATTATACAGAAAAATCTATTATCGCACTAGAAGTGAAAATTTATGAAGAATATTATAAATCTGGTGCAGCAGATGAAGAAAGAGGTAAGCCCCAAAAGAAGATATTCAACAAAAGCAGTGCAACCAACCTAAACTCCAGCGAAGGAGTCCAGAATTTTAACACAGGTCCAGCCCCATCCTGTCGCAGACCCTACCCAAGGAGTTAATAAAGGTAAGCGACAATGTCTAATGCTCAGTAGGCTCGGTGATTTCAATCTCGCCCTTAAGAAAAAACGGTTGCAATTTAAATTTTTTTTTTTTTTTTCATTTCACCAAGTCCGAAAACTCCATCGTTTGTCAGCGCAACATCTCACGGTCTTACCGTTTCTAACCCTAACATTTCAAGTTCAAATTCTCTTCGATCTTACAGACATACTGCGGAGTCGGTCTTAAAGACATGCGTTATACTTCGGTACCGACAGTATTACCGTGCATTCGTGTATTTGTTGGTTGATTTTGTCGATAGGAGAAATACATGCGCGAAAAATTACCGAATGCGCCGCTATGTGAGCCTAACACTAAAAGCCGAAGAAGAAGAGCCATTGAAGAGAAAAAAAGAAGAACAAAGTTGGATTTACTGACCCAAACAACCGAGAGGGGTCCTGCACCTAGATTTTGTGGGGGAAACAGAAAGTAGCTCTTATTTCCAGGCACTCATTATAGGAGTGATTCAAGACATGAGCGCAGAGAATGCCACTTAACTGGGATATATACTTTCGCTTCTCTGGCAGTTTTATCAACACCCACAGTTGATGCCTCCTCTCCCCTTGCCATAAAAGGACTCTCTGCATCGAAAGAGTCTCTCCATATATCTAATCGCATTACGTAAATATGCATAAGGATATTATTTTTCTTTTCCATAAATCATTCTAATCCATGTACAAGGACTTAAGGTCACTTTCGAATCGCATTTTAGATTTTTCTGTTTCAAAACGCCGGCCTTTAGGTTCAAAACCACTCACAAAATAGCTTATTTGAGGGGAAATTTCGATAGAAACGGTATAGTAGCAATGGAAACCCCACACCAATACCCGCCAGGGAATTCGAGGACATTGCAGGAGCATTATAAATACATGTAGATCTTTCTCGTGAAATGTGGTTAGTTCTGGTTTTTTCTTTCCCTTATCCCCAAGGACAACATCATATCTATTAATACGCAATATGTTTTCCAGTAAAATCAACAGTAATTTGGTTAAGAGAGCTGCAGCAGCCCCCTTAAACAGATTATATTCTCAACTTGCTCTCTCGGTCAATGTTAACTTACCAAACGGTACTTCATATGAACAACCAACCGGTCTTTTCATCAACAATGAATTTGTTTTACCAAAGCAAAAGAAGACATTTGAAGTTATTTCTCCATCTACTGAAGAAGAAATTACCCACGTGTACGAAGCTAGAGAAGAAGACATTGACATTGCAGTTGAAGCTGCACAAGCTGCTTTCAACTCCGATTGGGCTACCGGTGATCCAGCTGCTAGAGTCAAGGCACTTCTTAAGTTAGCTGACTTGATCGACCAAAACGCTGAAACTTTGGCCCACATCGAATCCTTAGACAATGGTAAGTCTTTACAATGTTCCAGAGGAGATGTTGCGTTATCTTCGCAATGTATCAGATCTGCCGCCGGTTGGGCTGACAAGATTAACGGTTCTGTTGTTGAGACCGGTGACACTCACTTCAACTACACCAGAAGAGAACCTTTAGGTGTATGTGGTCAGATCATCCCATGGAATTTCCCATTATTGATGCTTTCTTGGAAGCTTGCCCCAGCTTTAGCCACTGGTAACACCATTGTTCTTAAGTCCGCTGAGTCTACCCCATTGTCTGCCTTGTACATGGCCAACTTGATCAAGGAAGCTGGTATTCCTGCTGGAGTTGTCAACATTGTTTCAGGTTTCGGTAAGATTGCTGGTGAAGCAATTGCTACCCATCAAAAGATTAAGAAGGTTGCCTTTACTGGTTCCACTGCTACTGGTCGTCATATCATGAAGGCTGCTGCTGAATCCAACTTGAAGAAGGTTACTTTAGAATTAGGTGGTAAGTCACCAAATATTGTTTTCGACGATGCCAATGTTTCCAAGGCCGTTCAAAGTTTAGTTGCCGGTATTTTCTACAATACTGGTGAAGTTTGTTGTGCTGGTTCAAGAATTTATGTCCAAGAAGGTGTTTACGATCAAGTCTTGAGTGAATTTAAGGCTGCTGCTGAAGGTATTAAGATTGGTAACCCATTCGATGAGGATGTCTTCATGGGTGCTCAAGCTTCTTACGCTCAATTGACCAAGATTTTGAAGTTTATTGAAATCGGTAAGAACCAAGGTGCTACTCTTATTACTGGTGGTGAAAGGGTTGACGACAAGGGATACTTCATTAAGCCAACTATTTTCGGTGATGTCACTAAGGATATGGATATTGTTAAGGAAGAAATCTTTGGTCCAGTTGTCACCATCTCTAAGTTTAAGACTGTTGACGAAATCGTTGAAACTGCTAACGACTCTCCATATGGTTTAGCTGCAGGTGTCCACACTGAAGATATTAACAAGGCCATTGACGTTGCTAACAGAATCAAGTCTGGTACTATCTGGGTCAACACTTACAACGATTTCCACCAAAGTGTTCCATTCGGAGGATACGGAGAATCTGGTTTCGGAAGGGAAATGGGTCAAGAATCTTTAGACAACTACACTCAAGTCAAGGCTGTCAGAATTGGTCTCACCAAGAAGAACTAAATTCATGACTATCATTTCAAGAAAAGAAGGGAAGAGAAGAAAAGACGAAAAAGCACAAGCAAAATGTGAGCATGAAGTTTATGAAAGTATATATGTGATTGCATATCAATGAATGTTATCCATTTCACAGTGGTGTGTAAAAGTAGGAGTAAGAGTAATGTAAAAGTACGACATGTGCACCTAAAAAAAACCTTTCAGTTCGCTATCTCTATGTCTATTCTGCAGCAAGATGTACTTACTTTAGGACTCGGCCCGCTTACCGAATACGAGTGATCGACAGGTCCCTAACATAAATCCGTGGACAAGTTGGCCCTCACTGAGTACCAGTGGTGTTCATATTGAAGTATCTCTATTATTCCCTTCAAAAGCATGAGCTCTAAACTTTAACTGTCTTTATTAGTAGAGCTTCCCTAGCTATCCGACCACTTGGCCCACAGATCACCTCTTACCATTTGCAGCCATTCTGCATGCACCAGTCGAAGTAGCTCATGATTATGAGCGCGGGTACAAGCTACATGGCTCGCTTATAGTAGGTAAAGCATCGCACGTGACTGTGACTGCTTTTCTCTATTTTCATGGTCCTGGGTTGTCTTCGTGCATTGCTCAGTTCACAATTACTGCGAAAAAAGAGGAGCTTCTCGTTTTGTGATACTTCCCTCCTAACAAATTCTCGCGGCTTATGTCAGCAAGAAAATTTTCAATCTGTGCACACCCGTTCCCAATCCTATCCAAAAGTACACTTGAATAAAAGAATTTTCAGTAAGAAGGTTCGTACAACAGTTAACCAGAAATCAGACAAAATGGTATGTAGATACATGCTTGATAGATATATGTTAGGACGATAATGGAATGAATAGAAGTGAAGAACAAAAGGGAGCAAGTCAATAGTTGAATGACTGGATATGATTTCATTACAAGGGGAAAATTTTTTACAGCATCGTGCTTGTGAGAGCAGTTTAAATGGCCCAAGGATTGGATTAAAATAATGTGGACATAGTGGATATTATCGCCATGAAACGAGCAGGAAGGGATGAAGATGAACAGGGAATGAATGGGCCCTTGTAGAAAAGAAAACCCTAGGATTTGAACAACCACCGATGTAGTATATGCTTGACTTTGAGATGAAGCTGGCCCAAGTTTCTAAATTGAGTGATCCTAACAAGCTTACTTGTGCGGACAGAATGTTTATTTTGAGTTTAATGTCCAAGCAGGGAGCGAGAATAGTTATCAAGTGAACAAATTTGACCCATCAGAGGCTCGCTAGTAGTCATTCCAATCCCATGAGCGAACTCAGTCTATACCCTTCCATTATGTCATTATCATGTTCTTTCTAAGACCAGAATGTATATTTATTTATTTATTTATATGTTTCATTTTTATTTTATTTGGTGTTCATTTTACTAACTTTCTTCCTTTAGAGTGACGCTGTTACTATCAGAACCAGAAAGGTTATTTCCAACCCATTATTGGCTAGAAGACAATTCGTCATTGACGTCTTACACCCAAACAGAGCTAACGTCTCAAAGGATGAACTCCGTGAAAAGTTAGCTGAAATCTACAAGGCTGAAAAGGACGCTGTCTCAGTTTTCGGTTTCAGAACTCAATTCGGTGGTGGTAAGTCTACCGGTTTCGGATTAATCTACCAATCCGTTGCTGATGCCAAGAAGTTCGAACCAGCCTACAGATTAGTTAGATACGGTTTAGCTGAAAAGGTTGACAAGGCTTCCAGACAACAAAGAAAACAAAAGAAGAACAGAGACAAGAAGATCTTTGGTACCCAAAAGAGAGCTGCTAAGAGAGCTGCTAAGAGAAACGCTGATTAGATTCATCAATATTATATTTTCAAAGCTTTATATAGTATAATATTAATGTCGGTAAATTGATGGATGCATCTATAATTCATTGTGTATAATAACATAGTGCTATTTGTATTTGAAACATGTAGAACATGTAAAGTCTAAGAGACGGGTTGGCTAACTTTCGTAGTCTGATATTCTCTGGGTATACTGAATATATGTCGTGCGTATACCAATACAGATTCCCCAGATAAAGAATGATGGCCCATCTAACGTAGAAGAAACTAATCTTTATTACTAATAAGTTGTGCTAGTAAATCGCTTCTAAGATTCGATGTCTGAAAGAAAGGGTATAAACAAGTACTACCCACCGGACTGGGATCCTTCCAAGGTGCCGAAAAGGCAAAAGATTGGGAACCAAGACATCAAAGTGCGTCTTATGGCACCATTCTCGATGAGATGCCTCAAGTGCAACGAGTATATTGCAGAGAGAAGAAAGTTTAATGCAAAGAAGGAGATAACGAAAGAAATGTACATGAACTTCAAGATTATACGATTTCATATCACATGTCCTAGGTGTAATAACAAAATCACATTCAAAACCTCTCCCCAAACTGCAGGGTATGTCACCGAGACTGGAGCCGTTAGGAACCATCAGCCTAAGAGTGCGATCCACAAAGAAGAAGAAGCTACGCCCAAGGATTCAAAGCCTGAAACTGAGGATGAGATATTGGAAAGATTGGAGAGGGAAGAGCAGGAAAACCAGTCATACCAGGTGCTAAAGGATAAACGTAAAAGAAATCCATTTTGGCAAAAGCAAGATGGTTTGAAAGATGGAGATGGCAATGTGATGGAAAACCTTGAGAAGAGATTGTTGCAACAACAACGAGAAAATGAAATCAACGATCATTTAGAGCAGCTACATGCTAGACAAGTGCACATTAACGAGCATGGAGGGAATGAGCAGATGATAAATAGTGCTCAGCGGATGATTAATTCTGACTTAAGCACTAGAGAGGAGCAAGACGAGCTAGCAGACGAGGATGCAGCACAGAGGGCTTTTGCCAAGTTCAGATCAGAAAAGAAACAAACAGTCGAAAAAATTGAAATTGAATCGAGTGAAGATGAGGATAAAGAGGAGTCCGAGAAGGAAGAAGAAATAGCAGATGAAGAAGATGAAGTGGTGCAGCCCTCCAAGAGAGAAACACTGAAAGCTGCAGCATCTACCGCGTTTAACCCTAAGATCGTTTTGAAGAGAAAGAAAGATGTACCAGTAAAGACGGCAGTAGATGTCGCCCCTACAAAAGCTTTGGATATCGGGCCAACCGCTCTATCTACATTAGCTGGTTACTCGTCAGACGAGACTGAATAACAGAGATTTCACCATAGCATATCAAATAACACCACTCACATTGCATTTTATGGGGTCCAATTCTGATCGATGCCCCATTAACTCTAAATTTTCTACATAGTAGTACTATTTCAATTTATATTATTGACTATAATTTTAATTGTAGTAAAAATCGTTTAAAGTCCCGGTCATTTGTGGAGGAGGTTGAACGTTCGAGTGATACAGTACTTGGATATCTTCTAATATCGGTATCAACCTGTTCACCATTGTCTTATCCATATCTTTCCTACAAAGGCAAATACCTCTGATATACTCCACAGAGCAATAGTAGAATGATCCCAAGATTTCATTTTCCCACATTTGTGGGATGAAGTTCATTGGATCTTCACAAGTTGCCAAATCACCCAAAAATTCGATAGCTCTTAAACTGTTCAACAAGTATGAACTATCCTTTCTCGTAAATAAAGGCTCCAACCCACCATAAAACAACGTAACATCCCTACCAACAGCTTCGCTGAAAGATTTAAACTTCTTAGTTGCAAATGGATCAATTTTCTTTGCTTTACCATTGAGTACGTTTTGGAACCCAATCCTGATATATGAAGCGATAAATGAATCCAACAAAATGGCAAATGTGCACAGGTAGATATCGTAGGATGCATACCCTCTAAGGTCTTGCATGTATTCTATTATGGTTTCCAACACTTGTTGAGCCATGTTTGGTTGGTTATCTGCTTGTAATTTTTGGTCATCATACCATTCTTTGGTGAAAACAGTTGATAATGCAGGGTATAAGTCATTCGTTATGATGTCAATTATAGATCTGATAACTTGTGCATTAAGTTCTGTCAGCGGCGTCACTGTATCATCGAATGCATCTTGAATACGAGATTGATAAGAAGAATGCACTTTCCCCTTGTATCCAGGTAAAAACTTGTCTTGAAGACGATCTGTATTAATTTCAAAAGTATTACCCAAAGCAGTTAAATACTCGAGAAGACCAGGCTTAGAAATCTCAGACAATTCTTCAGTAGTCATGTTGTCAATATCATAAGTTGGCTTATTTGGAGACTTCTTAAAAAATCTCATTTTGTTTGACGCCAGTTCAATAAACCTATCGTTGTTGTAAATTGACATGTAATTTTCAAATTCATCTGTGATGATCATCTTGTAGTTCATGACTCTTTTAATATAACATCTTGACCAGTTTTCAATGACTCCAACCAAAATACTACCATATCCAGAGTCAGCTGCTACATCTGCTTGTTCTTTAAGCATAGATAATGGGGTCTTGAAATCAGGTAATACGAACACATCTCCATCAATCTCAATTGTAATAGTTTGATCATTAGCATCTTCATCCTCAATAATTTGGTGATATGGAAAAATGTCAGGAGGTGTCTCATCTCTATGAAGGAACGTGTGGGTCTCTTGGTTGATAAGATTATCGTTCCATTCGTCCATCTTTGATACGATAACTTTAAGATAGTCGTCGAGGACAACTTTCTTAAGATCTTCTCCAATCAAAGATTTTCCAGCTATTTCTTCTCCACTGTTAGCACCACTTGGTTGCAATGATCCAACAAACTTACTATAATGCTTATCGTAAGCTAGTATTCTCAACAACTCTTCCGCAGATGGATCCAACTTAATTAAATCCATCGTGAAGGTGTGAAGTTTGTTGTAATACACATTTTGTATAAACCCAGTTATATCCCAATGGGGTGGGAAGTATGCACTTATGGTTTCAGTTACAAATACTAATTCATCTTCCAACCATGATAAATTGTCATAAACCGCCATTCTATCACTACTAAAGTGTTCCACACACTTTTCAAAATTCTCCTCCAACGATTCCTGCAATTTGTCGTAGAAAAATTTCATGTAGTTTCTCTTGGCACCTCTGTATTGTGAATAATTCGTAGTGACAACGTCAATCCTATCATCTACAACACCTTCTTCCAAACTCTCCTTCAATTTTTCCTTCAAGCTCACCTTTAAATCTTCGTTGTTTTCAAATTCAATAATCTTGACCAATTTGAATGCCATGGCACCATTTCCTTCTCTTATGGCCTCCGTAATACTGATAATTATCTCGTTCAATAGTTCGTCAAACAACCGGATAGCGGATTTAATTGGCATTAAGATCTTTTCGATTATACTTTGTAAATCATCAGAGAACTTATTGCTGGGCGAAAGTAAAAACTCTTGAAAGTTTCGTGCCTGAGTCAAGTTGAAATGAATTAACAATAAATTATCCAACGGATAAGAAAGATCTTGACTAACTATATCCCATTCCTTCTGAATCATCTTCTTCAACCTCTCAATGAAATTTTTAAACTCCTTTATATCATTCCTTAAGCTCTCGGTTTGTTCTAAGAACTGATTGAGCAGGGTAACCTTTCGAATCAAATCATATTCCGGAACACTGGTAATAGCCTCTTCATAGACCATATCAATCTTATTCAAACTCGTCTTAATATCGTTCAAGGATGTAGCGGATTTGTTTAGCTTATACATGTTAGACATAATCGAGTCAATTTGTAGCTGCACAGTGGTATTCAAATTGACGTCAATTGACGCCTTCTCCTTGGTGAATTGTTGCCTTAATGTGGGTATCTTAACCAAATCATCTTCCACCTTAATAAGATGAGCTATTCTAGACAATGCTGCTTCACTCATTCCGTAGATTATAGTGATATATTTGGCAAATTGCACCTATAACGATAGATGTAAACAATTGAACCAAGAATTTCATAGAGGTGTCAATATTTCAAGAGATCGCACCCCAATCCGGAATATCCTGCATACACTAAACATAAGGTTTGGGTGCAAAATAGCGTGCTACAAGTTGGTGAGACTACAGCTTCTGGAGTACCTTCCAATATCTATTCTTAATTTACAAATATTTACCTTTCTTCAAACTGGAGGTCAGGAGTGTTAGAGTAAAAGCAAATAAAGAGGAAAAATTAAAATAAATAACGGAGAATACTAAATACCATCTCTGACATGACAGTGAGCTATTCCGATAATTTTTGAATTTGTAACCCGTCTACTTATTGTTCGTTCATCCTTCCCTTTTTTGGTCCCGTTGGCGGGGTCTGATTGTTATGACTATATTTTCTTCCACCGCTTTGTTTGTTGCTCGAATTGCTCATGTTGGGGCTATTGTAATGATTCATTCCCATGGTCATATGACCATTAATAGGGCTGCCCCCAGCCCCTATGAAACCTTGTGGAGGTCCCAAATATCCACCTGGAGGTAAAAATGGTTCTCCTCCTGGTCCATACATCGGAATAGGTGGTTGTTGTGGAATTCCAGCAGGGAATTGTTGGTGGTGGTGTTGAATTGGTTGATGTTGATGTTGCTGATGCTGTTGCTGCTGTTGGTACATCATGGCAGCTTGGAATTGTTGTTGCTGGAAATGAGCAGCCATAGCAGCAGCAGCCAATTGCTGTTGATGTTGTTGCGGAGACATCGCGAACTTTCCCACATTGGGCGTACCTGGGTAACTTCCACCTATCATGCCACCGGCACCACCAGCGGTGCCTCCGGGCACCCCCCCTGCACCAATCATTTGGTTGGGAATGAATGGCATGGTGCTGCTGTTCGGTATAATTGGAGTTGGAGGTTTGATATTATTTGGTGATGGGAATAATTTATCGTGAGATTCATCTACATTGGAGTCCCATGTAGGTGGCGTTATGAAGATCTTTTCAAATTCAACTGGTGTCAGCTTATCTTCATGCTTATTCTTGACCGTGAAGAACATATTAAATGAAAGCTTGAAGTCTTTAACTTTCTTTTCTTGTCCAGCCTTTGTTGGAATCTTGTCGCTTCCTCCGAAGAAATCTGCTGCCGTGACTTGATGACGCTTATTATTCGAGGATCCAGAGGATGGTGGCCCCGAGTTGTTATTCATGTTACTGTTAGAATAAGGTCTTTGCTGGTTTGCCCTAGGCGAATGATTATTAGTAGTGGATTTATTGAAGTTTGGTGTTGGAGGTGTTGGAGTCAACTGTGAACTTTTTGTTGATGGCGTGAATGAAGCAGCGTTTGGATTAAGCTTGAATGCTGGCTTGGTTGGATCCATTTTAATCTTTCTAGCACCTGTCTGCGATTCAACAGGTGTCGATGTCGATGCAGGTGTGGAACTAGCCGGAGTGGCAGTTTTGGCTCCAGTAGTTGAAGATGTTAAGGAAGCAGCAGAAGCAACTTCGGCATTCTCTTCTTCTCTCAACTTTCTCTCTTGTTCCTTCTTTTGCAGTAATTCCTTTTGTTTCTTCAATATTTCGTCTTGCTTTATTTTATCTTTGGATAATATTGGTAATAAATCTTGGGGTAATTTATGTGGAATTTTAAAGTTTGCACTGAATTCACGCAATGAGTTAATTTCACTTTGAGCATTTAATCTAAACGATTCATTTGGCACTTGAGGCTTTGGAGGTATTGAATCAGGTTTAGTTTTGACATCGTTACTACTAGCATCAATACTTGTGTTAGTTGATTGAGCAGGTTTCGTTGCAGAAGAAGATATGATAGCCGGGTCATTATGATATTGGGCCGCCCTTTGTCTAGGTATCACATATTTACCTGGAGAAGTACTTTCAGCTGCAGCATCGTTAGGTGCAGCGGAAGCAGGAGCGGCACCGATATTCACTCCTCTTAATGCAGCCATCAACTCATCGCCTCTTCTATCAACACCGGAATATTTATCTTCTTCATCTAATCCACTGTCATCCACTTCAATTCCTCTTTCTTCCAAGACATGACGATCTGATGAAGCAGACCCTTCAATTTCTCTTGCTATTTTATCGGCGTGTTTCAATCTTTCTGCATAATCTGGAGCTGAAGTATTGATTCTGGTGGTGTATAAATGCTCATCATAAGTAGATTCTACACCGAATTTTTCTTCATTTACTTTGAATTGATCCCATTTACCTCCGGAATCATCTTCTAAAGCAAGCATGGTAGAATCATCATCAGGTACCCACCTTTGAAGTTCACGTTCTTTAATTTTCAACTTACCAGAAATGTCCGTATCAGTCTTAAACTTAGAATCCAAAGAAACAGGAACTGGATTAGGAGCAACATCATTTGTCTCATTTATGTTTACATCTTGAACTTCCAAGTCCATCAAATCTTTGGCCTGAATAATCAACTTTTCAGGAAGTGAATCTGGTACAATATTACTCTTTTCGTCAATCAACGCTTTGGAATAAAGACGCGGGTTTTGAATTATCACCGATAAGGAGGATGGAGATTGACTTGTTGGTTGTTCAGTGGATGATAAGTCACCGCTTAAAAGGAGGCCCTGGTAACGAGCACCAGAACTGACGGTAGCAATACACTTTTTACCAATTGATTTTGCAACCAAATGAATCAATTTGTCATTAATTGCCCTTTCCGACTCGCCTTGTCCGTTGCTAGACGTGTTGCCGTTGTTCTGTCTTGAAAAGGTATTAGTACGTGGGGTATTGTTCGTGTTATTGGATCGTCTGCTCCCGTTGGTTGAGTTCTGCCTGTGAGGGCGAGGAACTGATTGTTTCATATTTTAGAATGAAGTAAATGATAAAGAAGAATTAAAATGTGTGCAAGTTCTTTGCGTGTTTGTGTTTGCGTGGTCGTTCTTGTGTTGACTTGATACTAAAGCTCTTAACCTTATTATTCAGGATGCCTTTATCTCAATTGGCTCGCCTTTGATTTTACCGACGTGACCGCTTAGTGCTTTCTTGATTTAAGACTCGAAAGATGCAATCCTCTTGGTTTCACTGCCTCCACTTTCCTTTTCTTTCCAAAGTTTAATAATTTTTTCCGTTTAAATTTACTATGAGCAAATCTAGAAAGGGAAAAAAAGATCACAACAAAAAGATGAAATTGAGAATTGGTAGCACCGTTGAGATTCTTGTTATGGGGTAGGTTTGACTTCTTTCCTTGTAGTAGGGATGTCCAAGAAACTTCTTTCTTAGCGATAGGAATGCTTCTTTAACTGTTTCTATTTAAAGGGTCAAACGAAAGGGACTAGTTTTCTAAACTTAATTCCTTAGCTAGCTCTTTATTTTTTTTTATGTATTTGAATTTTCCTATTTTTTTTTTTAGCTTTTTACTTAAAACCAATAAGTAGTAGGTTTACTACTGTCTTTACACCGCTGTAGAAGTTAACTAAGCAGATCCTCCCAATATAGATCAATTGGAGTTGGTTTTCAATTGCCAATTACTAAATGGCGAACTAGTATATACAGATTAAGTATATATCTTGACTGATAGATTGTATCTTGAAGGGACGTTAGGAATATGTTTCTCGGTTTTTGATAGTTGTAACGATCGCTCACTAGTCGCCACGACGGTTTTCCAAGTGTCCGGGTAAACTGGAATTTCTTTGCTGGGAAAACAAGCATACACAGTTTCAGTAACCGAGAATTTTAGGTTACTACAATAGGCGGCGCGCGTATGAAGCTAGAGAGTCGCATGACGTATATTGCTGCTACTTATTTACCTGTGTCGACGGTATGGAGCCAGCCTTGAACAGGAGAGATGGAATTGATACAAGGTTAATTTCAGACGCTGCAGCACACAAAAAGAAAAGACTCAATAGAATTGCTCTATCTGGTGGAAATAGAGCATGGTTCCACTGTCGGTGGGCTCTCCTTTTTAAGTCCGTATTCGAAAATGGAATTTTTCACTCAAGTGCATGCATGATTCTCGAGTTTCATTTTTACCTCATGGTTCGGAGTTGCTTTGCAAGCCCTTCCCGTTCCATCTGAAGCTAGTAACATAAATCAAAGGCTTACGTTACACACACACACATGTAAGTGCATTTATGTATGCATATACGTGTGCATATACGTGTATGTATATCATAAATGCGCTTACATTTCGTAGAGGTATGTTACATGTTTTCTCTTCAAGTAGTAACTTTCGTTTCGTTCAATTCTAGCTATAGGTTTGCATTTCATTTCCTGTTCAACAGGAGACGGTAGAAAGATTGGATCGAATTTGATCTTTTAATTCTCTCAGTCACGCACACTCAATCTTCCCTCTCTAGATTCTCAACAACAAGTTGAAGGTTGCAATCTTGGAAGACAATACACTTATTCTAATAGAACCACATACTTCAAAATCTCCTTCTCTACGTTTCAACAGCGGGCTAATGGTCGAAAATTTCTTTAACTCTTTTAGCAACAGATACTTGATAATCCCAATCCTATTTCAACGTTTTCAACAACTGATCCCCAGTACAACGTCACAAACTCTTTCACGAAGTCCAAATCTTCGTGCGAATATGGATCCAATTCCATGTCGATAATGTCTTGGTAAGTCAACTCAATTGATATTTTGCTTCTGTTCACTAGTGCTTGGTGCACCCCATTCCCGTCGATATCCAAATCAAGTTCTTCAATAACAACCTCATTTATAAGGTAAAACCATTTTTTCGTAAGTTTATGGAAATTTCCCACTAATTCTACCAATTCTATGAAATTCTTCTTAACGTTTTCTTCTGAGTTGGAAGAGTCAAGAGCTAGGATCGAATTATCTTGGCTATCTCCAGTTCTTTTTCCATTGCTGTAACCTATGTTTGAATTCTCAATAACTGTTTCAGTAACAGTACCAGCACTAGCAAACCACGAAAAGGCAGACCATATATATTCTCTCCAAGATATAGGAGCAGTTGCACTTTCGAGCCACCAGCTTGGTTCTGATTCAAGCTCATATTCTCCAAACACCTTTGGATTTGTATATTTTATGAATTGAGTCCCAAATCTGCTAGAGAAAGTTGAGGACTTGGTTTTTATAGATGACGCATCGTCCTGTGAAGTAGAATTGTTCCCACACTTGTGTCTGTTGAAATAGTCCTTGTAAACAAGCTTGAACTTGTAGTAATCCTTCAATGTTGATTTTAATTCTCCATCACTCGATGAAGGTGTGTGTCCATGGTTATTTGTTAATGTTTTAGCGCCAACCACAAAAGGTTCGTCAAATTCTTCACATGGAATGAAAACAGCATAGTCAAATATATTGCGTTGATACATCAAGATTGAGTCGTTCGTACATCCAATAGTGGAAGCTGACCCTGCCAAAGTTCCACCTAAATCATTCAACCCGATTGAGTAAATTGGACGAGAGTACAAATTACTTTCATCGCTTTCGTCTTCAGCAAACTGTTCGTTCTTCACAATTTCAATTCCCTTCGGCACGATAGATATCAAAGATAATAGATATGTGAAAGCACCTAGGTCAAAATTCGTAACTTTAGAATGGTTTTGCTGAAAGAATAGAATTCTTTTCCTCAAGAGTGCTTGCTTATACAAACAGAACGTCAAGGGCCCCAAAGTTTGCAAAAAAACCGGCAATTTCTTTAAAAGATGATTTTCTATTTTCTTAGTAGATCTCGTGGAACCACCAGCGATCAATCGGGAGTATAGCTCTTCGAATAGCTCAAAGTTCTGAAACTCCCTCTGAGCTACAAATTTACGAAGGGTGGCATCTAAGTCTTCCAAGTACTCCCAACCGTTATGGACAAACTCGTTCGGCTTCCAGGATGAGTCAGATTTCATCAGTGCAGAAGGCGTCAATGGCTCGCACAATATACCAACTGCATACATTTTCACATTGCTTCTATCAACCTGTTCATTTGACCCAAAATCACCCAAGTTTTGGAAAAACTTACAGAGCCCATAGTATATTCTATTTCCAGCTTTATGTGAGATAAGAATTGTGTCTGAGTCCTTTTCGTGTAACCCAGAAGGAAGACACTTGTACTCCAAACCAGTCAAATCCAAGCCCTCATTCACTTTGGACCATACAAATTTGTATCCCACGGAGGTATCGAAGTTCACAAGAAAGCAAGCTGCAATCTTAGGAGGCGAGTAATCTGGTTCTAAAGGATTCGACATTGTCAATATTCAATATTCACTGTATTACTGACCGTGAATACTAGTTATGGATTGCTATGAGCCTACAACTTTTTAGTGACACCTATTTGATGTCATGCATATCGCACCTAAAAGAAAAAAAAAAAAATAGCGTGGAAAAAAAGTGAAAAGTTGAAGTTTATCGTAGGAAGTAGTAGAGCACAGTCGCTCTGTATGAAGCTGGTTGTTAGACAGTGGTACAAAACCTTGTTGTTCATGGGGAGAGAGTACCCTGAACAGTCCGGAGGTTATAAGAAATTTCGAGTTGTACTTAAAAAGCACTTTCAAAGCACCCCAGCTGATACTGAGGTACAGTTCCAGAAGGCCATTGAAAAGGCAGAGTATGCAGAAAAAGGTAAGTATAGGTGAGAATATTGAGCATGGAAGAGAAGACCAGTGGAACAGAGTGCAACCGAAAAGGGTACATCAGAAAAGTACACTAAGTTTATTTTCTTCATATATGTATATTTTCATCTGAATACTAACGAGTGCAAATTATAGAATTAGAAGCATTGTACTTTTTGAAGCGTTACAGACACCTTAAGAGAAAGTATTACCAGTAAGAGGCAGCAGTTGTACTAGTGTCTCTCTCTCTTACTTTCTACGGAAATTTAAATTTCACTATCAATTATCCTGCGCATAAGAATTACAATAATTACGAGCATCCAGTGCAGAGTCTGCCCGTTAATTTTAAACTAGTACTACAATCTCCAATGGACAATTGGCTCTGTATATGGATTATTTATTTAACGATACGATACATTCACACACTCAATGTAGAACACGCCGCTAATATTATTTATATTTATGGAATTGAGTCCCAGTTTATGATTCATCTCTTTGTATGTTCTTGTTCTTCTCTTCACTTTCGACTAATATCATCTTCATTTTTTTTTTTTTTTTTTTGCTTGATTTCACTATCTTAAGCTCTTATTCTCAAGATGAAGTTAACCACTACTGCAACAAGTAAGAAGAAACACAACATAGTTGGTCCAAATCTGTCGTCATATGGACCAGATCCTCTCAATCTAATGGCCTTGGCTCTCCAATGATAAGTAATTAATGCATAAACCATCGTGAGCATGGCAATGAAGGTGAAGAGTCCAGCAGAAATTCTACCAACGGAGTCCCCAAAATTCAATAAACCAACTCCAAGAGATCCTAAGATAACGGTGAAATTCAACCATGAAAGGAAGGTACGTTCATTGGCAAAGAAAACCTTTGGCTCGACACGGGCTGGTAATGCAATCCTCTTTTGAGTGGCAGACATTATGAATGGATACTGGGTTCGTCTAGGGTAAGAAACAAGTAGACTATAAAAATTACTTTTGACGGGTTTTTTCTTTTGGAATTTATTAGCCTGCAATTGAAGCACCTTTATCTCATCTGCAGGCGGTGGTAGTACTATTTTGTATCGCACGTGGGCACCATTTCTAATTAGGAAATTATACAAGTGACTTTAACTCACAATATGCAGAACAGAACAAAGCACAATAGATGGGAACGCGAAAAGGCTGCAAAAACTGTAGACGGAAGGAGAAAGAGAGAGAGAGAACAACTGCAACACTTTAACGGCACAGTGTATGCAATAGAACTCGTTAGTTATACAAACTATAGAAGTAGAGATAAAACTCATTAAACATAAATATAGATTACCACAGCTAGTTAAAAATTAAATAGTACCATTAAACTAAAATTAGAGTGTTCTCATGAATTATTGCTTGGTCAATGGAATTGGGTGTGCAATGAAGTAAGAATTTGTAGGATTGGCCACACCAGCAAATGCGTTGTAGAAACCCAAAAATGCTGTGATCACCCCAAATACACCACCTGCACGACTAACGGCTACTTTACCGGTAAATTCACCTGCTGACAACAAAACAAAAGTCATAGTCAAGAATCCAAACAACAGTGCAAAAGCAACTGTCGCCTTTAACGTACACAAGAACAACATAAAGGTGAATAATGCCCAGGCCAAGAGATAGAACGCCACTGCCAGAGCCAATTGTTCAGTGTCTTCGTAAGCGGCAACGATTCCAAAACTAGGAACAAAGATTGCTGCGTACAGGAGCCAGAAGGCACCATACGACGATAAAGCGGTGGCTGCGAAAGTATTACCAACTGCCATTTCCCACACACCAGCTAAGAATTGCACAGCACCACCATAGAATGCTGCAAGCGAGACGACCACGTTTGGAGTGGTCACACCCATTGCTTGTGCATTATACATCGATAACACAAAGGTGGTCAAGGCAAAGGCAGAAAGACCCAATGGAGAAGGATTAGCAAACTGATTTACCGGAGGTGGTGCCAAACCTGGATTCAATGTACCACCGAAGGCCTGCATCAATTCATGCTTATGGAACTTTTGGTTACCGATTATCACAAACTCGTTAGCTTCACCAGCATGACGAACTTGAGAAACTTGAGGCTCCTCTTGGAAATTTTCCTTAGAACCTTCTGAATGTGTATGTGATGAGTGGTCTGTCATTTTAGCCTCGGTCAAATATAATAAATAGTTTCCTTTCTACTTTATTTTTTTTCAATAAGTGTGTCAATAAAATAAGTTTTACTGTCTAAATCTCAATAAGGGAGTCAAAGAGCTAGGAGTTAATGCCAAATAAAAAACGGAATTCCTCGTTTATATAACAATCACCCCGCTGCTCTACATATTAGTTTAAAGCTTGACCCCACAAATTGGAAATTTTAATAGAACGGTGCAAAGCAAGGACTATGAAAAAAATAGTCATCAACAGGTGCGGAGCGGAGTTGTGTTGTGGGTGCGGCACCGAGCAGCCTTCCATCATGCATAAGCCTTACCCACATTTTTGGACCAAGAAGTGCATACTTGGATCCTAAGTGAGTACGTTTTGGTTAGTGGAACACTATCAATTGATATACATGAATCGTCCTCATATAGGCATATCTAAAGAAAACATCCTCTTACTATCAGAAAGTTTTTGAGTATCTCACCGGGGAACTCTCGAATTTGGAGCTGAGAATTTTGGGCGGAATCATTTCAAATTCACCTTATTTTATTTGCGAAGGAGTGCTAAAAAAATATGAAAACTGAGTATAATGCAAGAATCTTACCATCGCTTACGTGTGCAATAACCACAAAAAATGATCGTACTAGGATCCAGTAGTAATATTACCTTATTTCCAAGAAATTAATCTTCACGGGAATTATATCCGGTCAATAATCTAAATATTTTCTGCCTACTGAAATGCTCCGATTACTTTTGTTGAACTCTATGAGGTTGTTTTGTACAGGGCTCAGACTCGGTAAAGAAAAATAATCCCCGTTTTTGTGGGGTGGCCAAGACAGAAAATAATCTTGATAATTATGAGATGCCCCATAAAATTTTAATACCACACAATAGAATCTACCCCGGAGTTTTATTTTTCTTAACGGTAATAAAGGTAAGATTGTTTTCGAAAACTCGTAAACCTTATTTTAAGGTTGGATTTTGTGGGGGAGACATTTTGCAAAGTGTATTCCAATTCCTACTTTAATTTCATGTTGACTGATACTACAAATCTTAGTCATTAATAAATATCTATATTTTCAAGTCTCTCTATTTTGTTGTTTTGTTGATAATTGTACTAATAAATCTCTAAACTTCTCTACTTTCAAATTCTCTATTCAAGTTCTTGAACAACTTCCTGCTCTTTGCATTTCTTTTGAAAACTCTCTTGTAGACCCTGGCCAAGTTACCGAACCAATACTTTTCACCTAATAACATCACAGCTAAATTGAGAGCCGCAGCGAGTACAATTATCCAGTACCAAAAAGTAGGCATATCGGTCAATTGCATAAAGTTTCCCCACCAAGAATCGCCCTCAATTAAGAAGCAAGCGGCCGACAACAAGCAAGCAACGACAACATTAACCAAGAAGGGAATATTCTTATTCATAGGCTCTCTATAAGGAGGACCTGAGCTCAAGACAATTGCAATCAAGATGTATTGGAAATTGGTAAATAAGAACAAGACAGTGTTGTCGGATGATTGGACAGCATCATCTGAGCCTGGAACTGGTTTAATGTACCAAGGCTCTTCTTGAACTGCAAACCATAGGCCGACTTGAAAAATTAGTATCACCAAAATATTACAGCACAATGGAATAAGTACCTTTGGCGATACTAAGTTAGCTGTAGGTCTTTTGATAACAATCTTTTCATACGGCTTTGACCATGACATAAAAATTGCTAATGGTAAAATCAAAAACATATCAATGTACAAAAATTGAAAGTCACCCAAATTTGTACCAGTTTTATACAAGATGGAAACTGTCACAAATTGAATGGCTGAGTATAGAGACATGTACTTGAAACAGGAGAAGCTGGTAACAAGACTAGATCTACCTTCCTTAATTACATCTAAGACACAGGATATTTCAAATAAACGAGATGTAAAAGGTGCTGCCACTGATGCTTCCGCTTCAGAGAGTGAAATTCCGACATCAGCTGCCTTCAAAGCACCACAATCATTAGCTCCATCACCACAAAATCCAACAGTATAATCAATCTTTTGTAATTGTTCAACCAATTCATGCTTTTCATCAGGAGACATACGAGCGAAAATGTCACAAGACATGAGGACCTTTTGAGTCACTGAAGTTAATTGAACCTCGGTAAGCAAATACTTGAATACATCTCCAGTGATTGCCAATTTATAATCCTCAGGTTCACTTCTATGATCAATGTGAAGGGGGGTCAATGTAATTGAGTCCAATTTATTCTCAGAATTATGTACATCTTGCCAAACCAAGTTGGTGATGTTTGATCCTTCCTCGTATGTGGGGATATAAATTTTAGTATCTTGATCAACCAAATTACATTCCTTGGAGACACTAATAGCAGTCAAGATATTGTCACCTGTACACATAACTGTTCTAATCTTTGCCTTATTTAAGGTATCCAAAGTTGCCTTAGTTGAGCCCTTCAATTTATTTTCAAAAATAATAAAACCTGCAAAGGTTAAGTCCCTTTCAATGTCATCTCTTCCAGGTAAAGCTTTCATGCTTATATCTTTCCTCTTTAAGCTCTTGTAAGCACAAGCAATGACTCTAAAACCGTTATGGGTATAGTGGTGTAGAATCTGGTCATAATCTGTAGGTAACGATTCCTTATCACATATGTCGGACATAACTTCTGGTGCTCCTTTTGTAAAAACGTAATAGTCCTCGTCGTGAAATGCATTAGCTTCTTTCACCAATACGGACATCCTTCTTAAAGCTGCAAGAAACTCATATTCTTTTAAAGTGATAAACCCGTCATTTCCAGCATTTGGATAAACTCTTTGAAAAGTTGCCCCTGAGCTACTTACATAGTTTTCTTCAAAATTCCACTTGGTAAATTCGAACATCTTTGCATCAAGTGGGTCACCAAGTAACTCATCGTCGATTAATCTTAATGAATGGCATGATGCCATACATGAAAGTAAGAACTTATTATTATTCGTCGAATGCTTCCCAGTATCAACACTCTTTGTCAATTGCTTTACTTCTGGAATTAAATCTTCAAAAATAATCTCTTTTCTACCAGTGGCATTGTTAGCAACATGAACACCTAAAATATCCAAACCGTCTTCAGTCAATGTTCCAGTCTTATCAAAACAGAATACATCAATTTTACCTCCAACATTTACTCTGGTTGGGGAAATGCAAAAGATCTGTTTGGCTTTCAATCTGTTAATAGCAAATGTAGTACCAATAGTTAACGTAGCTGGTAATGCAGGAGGCACGACGATAGTAATAATGTCTAACGCTCTAAGGACCATAACCTTTTTATCCAATCCTATTTGAATAAAGTTATAAGTAGAATAAATGAACCCTAAAGCTGCAATTATTGCCATGAACCCGATATATTTAAAAGAGTCTTCGTAGAACTTGAATCCAACCGGCTTTGGGAATAGCATTGATCTAACAAGTGAACCTTTCGTAGTATTAAATCCAGTCTTGATACATACTGCAGTGACAGGTTCTTCATTGTGAGACTTCATTTTCAAAAGTTTAGTACCATTGTATAAAAATGACTTTGCTAAAACAGGAGAAGTAAAATTCTCCTTCAAGTAGTCTAAAGTATCCTGGTTGGCTTCAACTTTAGAAACTGGCACACTCTCTCCGGTTAACATGGATTCGTTAATTACACATTCTCCATTAATCAATAATGCATCACATGGTACTACTGCCAAAGAAGGATCAACTTCAAATACATCTCCTGGCACCAATTCATTGGAATCTATTTGCTTCCAGAAATGGTTTCTCCAAACTCTGATCTCACAAGTAAATTTTGAAATTTGCTTCAATCTACGAATAGTAGACTTTGTCTCAGCTAAGGTATTTGCTACCGATACGAGGGATATGATGAAAATACATGATGCATAGTAGTAGTAATCGTCAGCCAACCACAAAAAGATGGAAAACACCTGAAACATATAAAATGGATGTAAAACTTCATCCACCAACAATTGAAAAATAGTCTTCTCTTCGATATCAATGTTATTTTCCCCAAAAATCTGCATTCTTTGCTCATGAAGCGCTTGAGAGACACCATCTCCAGTATGTTTCAAACTAAGCCAGCTATTGTCATACCAATTCGAATTTGTTCTGAATATATCTTCAACTGGACTGTAGAAAAACTTAATGTACCTATATGTGAAGGAATGAAGGTAAGGAATTGTTGGATCAACAACTTCCGACTCAGCTTCTATTTCAACTCCTTCATGTCCCACTTCAAGAATATCGTCGTCCTTCTCCACATTTTTATCGGGTAATACTAAGAAACTGGACAATCTTTCATTCAATCTCTGTTTGTTAATGTCAATTATAATTAACTCACCGAATTCGTTTTCAATAACCACCCAATCGGCCAAACCTAAAGGCGTTCTATCACCCAAAAAGTTGATTCTATATCTGGGAAACCATCTAAACACAAGGTACCCCAACCCAAAAGTACAAATACATATTAAGTAGAATATCGTTTGCTTCAAGATCTTGGTCTTGTACCCAGCAATACCAATGACCAAATCTTCTTCAGCCAAATAGTATCTTTGATAGTCTAATTTTGGATTGAATGCGTTATAATAGTAGTAGTCGTCACCACCGTTCAGCTTTTGGAAGTTTAATGACCCATTGCTATCAGCATCGGGGTTGCTGCTTTTATCAGAATCATTGGAGAATCTTCTATTGTTTCTTCTTTCAAATCTGGCATTGGTTGAATTCATGGAGCCATAGCTACTATCATCTTGATTTGAAGGTGTGGGCAGAATTCGATCTCTACTGCCTGCTGCCATACGCTCCTCTCCTTGATGCTGTTGTTGCTGATGCTGTTGATTCAAAAGAATCTCGCTTAGCTGGCTCGAACGATGGGGGGCTGACAACAATCCTTCGTTCTCATCGTCGTTATCAAATTTGTAGTTCGAATAGTCCCAATTGGTGTTATAATCAACACGGTCATCCGGGTTCTCAATGGTAGAACCACCTTGAGCAGTTTCGATTTCATCTGCCGAGAAGAACTTAAACCCTCCTTCACCAGCGCTTCCCGCTAATGGAGATTCAGCTGAGTTGGCGGTAGCATTAGATCTAATGGAGTACAATTCACCACCTTCTGTTGGATCAGGTGCCGCATTCAATAAAGGAGAGGCCTCTCCTGAAATGGTGGAGTTCTGCCGGCTACCAAATCTTCCAAAACGATGTGGATAATGTAATGATGAAATGGAGGATGGAATCACTTCAGATGGTGCACCAGAGTACATTTCATAGTTGTTTTCCTCCACTAGCAAATCACTTACTGAGGAACTAACAGAGGAAACGGACCCTCTTCTCTCCATGGAGGATCGAGAAGAAGACCTTCTATTTCTATGAGATTTGACCATCTTTCACTACAGCAAAGATGATAGCACGGAGGGCAGCAATCGTATGAACAACAGGTCCTTTCTTGACTGAAAAATCAGCAAAAAATTTCGTTATCTGTATGCGTCTATGCAGGACTCAAGACTCTCTTATGCGAGTAAAAAAATCATTACGCCTGTTCCAAAAGCAGGAAAACAAAGCGAGGGCTAACAGTTCTTAGGCATAGTTACAGGATTGATACTACAGAGTAACAGATTTTCATTGTATATATATAACTGCATTAACTTAGAGATACTGATATGGCATTCAAGTTAAAATTGAAAGTTCCACAGGCGAGTTCTGAGGGTGCTAGTTCATCCAGTAAAGTATCGAAGCCTAGCAAATCCAAGTCCTCGAAATCCTCGTCAAGCTCTGGGGGGCCCAAACTTAAGCTAAAATTGCCAGAGTCATCATCATCTTCTAAAACACTGATACCGAAGTTGAAGATCAAAAATCCATCTTCAAAAGTCAAGGTGAAAAAGGAGAAGTCTTCGTCTTCATCATCATCATCATCTTCTTCTTCTTCTTCTGCTCCCACTAAGAAGTTGAAAATTAGTTTAGTGAGAAAAGATGAGAATAAGAGCAATAATGTAAAATTGAAACTCCCATTGAAAGGAGCTTTATCTAACACTCCAGGGTCGAACATGGCGAAGCCGACGTCTTCAATTCCTGAATTGATTCAACCGACTACAAGATCTGTGCCGAAAGTCAGAATCAAACCCACCAGAGTTCCTGGTGATGGCTATGATTCGGAAGCACCAGATTTGGAAGACGATCCACTATTGGAGCAAGGGATAGTGATACGATTTTTGGACGATGTCAACTTAGATCTTGTACATAATGCAGTAGATCTGGGAGATTTGACTGATATAAATGTTAAATGGATAACGAAGGACAAGGCTATAGTGAACGTGAAGAGCACGCTATACAGTGCAGTCCTTCTTGATTTGCCAACCTTGACGGAAATATATAAAACTATAGATAAGAAGAATATTTTCAAAACTGTTGATGTGTGTCAGATATTGCTTGTCTTGAGAGTGATAGACCCGAAAGATCTCAATATGGAAAGGGACTTTGATTTGAATCAAGATAAATTGTTTGTGCATCCAGTTTACAAGATTCCTCACACTGAGTTGAAACCTACAAAGCAAGTGTATAAGGATGGGTTAATTTATCCATTTGAAGATGTGCATCGTAGATTTAGACCAAGGATGTTGGACCATAGAGTTTTGGAAGACATCCAGCTGAAGGTTGATGAATTAATTAAATTGGACAACGATGCTGAGGAAGTTCATTTTGAAGTTTTGGATTTGAAGAAAAACCAAAAAGTGGTTCAAAGTCTGCATGGCTACGACTTATCTAATATGCCTACTCCTAAGGGAGACACCGCCAGCCCAAGTCCATTTGTAGGTGCTGGATCTGAAGATGTGGAAATGGCAGAAGCGGAAGCAGAAGAAGATGATGAAATTGAGGATCCTGATTTGGAAGAAGAGTTGGCTAAGGCGTTGGAGGATGATCCAGATGGCGAAGATGATGACGATGACGATGACGAAGATGGAGAAAGAGCTAACGCTGAAGAAGAAGAAGAGGAGGAAGAGGAGGAGGAGGTGGTGGAAGTTGAACTTAACGGGCCTCAAACAGAAACTGTTGAATTGGAAGTTAAGGAAGGAGCAGATGAAGTCGATGTGGATGTGGAAGAAGAGGACGATGATGATGACGACGATGATGATGATGATGATGACGACGAAGATGATGATGACGATGAAGACGACGAGGGAGGAGATGTGGTACAGGACAACGGGGCGAAGGCAGAGAAGCAACATGCCAAATTATTGGAGGAAGAAATTGCTGATTTGGAGAAGGTCGTTGAAAAGCATCGTATTGGACTTGAGACTGCTACGCAAAAGATGATGAGAATGAAGTTTCAAACCAGTTATAGAACTTTGAAATCATCGTTAGACACCAAAAAGGCAGAGTTGGCTAAGATTTTGAACGAAAATCATCCAAAAACTCAGTCTGATACCTATGGAGATGATGACGAAGACGATGAAGACGATGAAAATAATGATAATGAGAACGATATAGAAATAGAGAACGAGGACGAGGACGAGAACGAGAACGACAACGACAATGAAAAAGACAATGAAAACGGGACCGATAATGATAACGATAACGATTCCGACGGTAACGCGGATGATATCGACGATCTCTTCTAAAAAAAGCCAGTATATATTATATAAAGAAATAAAGCTTCATCTTGCCTTCCCTCTTTCATGTAGATAAGCGGCTTGTTCCGCGGTTCCAATCTAATCACCACCCACCCACCCAAGCAAGCGACAGAGAAAAAAAAAGTAAAAAGATCATCGCGCCTGCATATAGTGTCAATTTCGACTCTGGTATGAGTGTCTATCGAATGATAAATTGATTTGAAGAACAGGTGGATTATTCTGGTGCTATCGAGTTATATGAATATAGAAAGGTTTGCTGGTGTGTACACGGTTATATAGTATTTGAGATATTAATTTAGACGGCCACTTTTTGTTCATTTTCATACTGATTTTTTGCGTTTGATAATGTCCACCAATTCAATCAAGCTCCTTGCGAGTGACATGCACCGTGGGTTAGCAGAACTTGTTGCTAAGCGTCTTGGATTAAGATTAACCCCCTCTGAACTAAAGAGAGACTCAACTGGTGAAGTCCAATTCTCCATTGGTGAATCAGTTAGAGATGAGGACATATTTATAATTTGCCAGATCGGATCGGGTGTCGTTAATGACAGAGTCATTGAGCTCTTAATTATGATCAATGCTTGTAAGACGGCCAGTGCCAGAAGAATCACCGTAATTTTACCTAATTTCCCATATGCTAGACAAGACAGAAAGGACAAGTCCAGAGCACCAATTACTGCCAAGTTGATGGCTGATATGTTGACCACTGCTGGATGTAACCATGTCATCACTATGGACTTACACGCATCTCAAATTCAAGGGTTTTTCGATGTGCCTGTTGATAACTTGTACGCTGAGCCTTCAGTTGTCAGGTATATTAAGGAGTCTATAAATTACAAAGATGCCATCATTATCTCTCCGGATGCTGGTGGTGCCAAGAGAGCTGCTGGTTTAGCAGACAGATTGGACTTGAACTTTGCACTTATACATAAGGAAAGAGCACGTGCTAATGAAGTCTCCAGAATGGTTCTTGTTGGTGATGTTACTGACAAAATATGTGTTATTGTGGACGATATGGCTGATACTTGTGGTACCTTGGCCAAGGCAGCCGAGGTTTTATTGGACAATGGTGCACAAGAAGTCATCGCCATTGTAACCCATGGAATCCTTTCTGGTAACGCTATCAAAAATATAAACAATTCCAAATTAAGCAAGGTCATTTGCACGAACACAGTTCCATTTGAAGAAAAGTTGAAGTTGTGTCCGAAATTGGACGCCATAGATGTGTCCGCCGTGCTAGCAGAAGCAGTGAGAAGATTGCACAATGGGGAAAGTATTTCTTATTTATTCAAGAACGCTCCATTGTAAAGAAAAGTGCTGGAGAGTAAGAAGCAATAACATTGCAAACAAGTAAAAAAAAAGAATAAACTGCAGAAGAACGATATAGTCTTTATTATAAAAAAACGAATAAACGATAGTAAATTAACCCTAATGGTACCATACTCCTATAATGTAGGTGCTTGCTTCTGACTTGGTGGGGTAAGCTATGTAAGCTCCAGCAATTTCATCGATACTTTCCCAAATCGCGAATGGTGCCCCATGAAAATTACTGAATTCGAATAGTTGGTCGGACTAGAGTTACTCTTGACTTCAGGGGCATAGTATATATAAGTATGTCTGCTACTAAGTACAGAGCATGTCTTTTTGGTAAGTAAATTGACGAAATGTATTAATTTACTCGTTATCATATGATTTGCATCGAACGCTTTTACTAATCGCTATTTTCTCTTCTTCTAGACATGGATGGATTGCTCTTAGACACCGAATCTAAATACACCAAGGTGACCAATGAAATCTTGTCTGACTTTAATGTAGGTCGTGAGTTGACCTGGGACATAAAAATCAAGCTTCAAGGCCGTCCAGGTGCTGAAGCATCTGCGATCATAGTGGAAGAGTACGGTTTACCAATCACGCCAGAGGAATTGAGGGACATTGGATTTGAAAAGCAAGCCAAAGAATGGCCAGAATCGAAATTCTTACCTGGGGCGTTGGAATTGTTACATTATTTGTATGAGAATGGAGTCCCCATTGCGTTGGGTACCAGTTCCAATAAGTTAAATTTCGACAGAAAGACTGGGCACTTGAAGCACGGGTTTAATGTATTTGAAAAGCACATTGTCACCGGTGATGATGCTAGAATCCCACCCGGCCGGGGTAAGCCACATCCAGACATCTGGGCTGCTTGTTTGGGAAGTTTAAATGAGGGTAGAGAGGATAAGATTAAGCCAGAGGAATGTATTGTATTTGAAGATGGTATCCCTGGAGTTCAAGCTGCGAGATCCTTCAACTCTCACGTTGTGTGGATCCCAGACATCAATGCAATCAAAGTTCTAGACGGACAGGAACACGAAATAATTGGCTCCAATGGAAAAATATTACAATCTTTAGAAGAATTTGATCCTAAAGAGCATGGTTTTTAGAAAATAAATGTTCAATTGAATAACGACGAATGTAAAGCAGAACAGGTAGGATCTTATTTTCTTTGAAATTCTAGGTTTAGCATATCCAGTTAAGTCTTACTGCTCTAGTGCTTGCTCACGGGTATGTCGCTCGGAAGCTTAAAATTTCTTTTCTGGTTCGTTTTTTTTTTTTTTTTTTCACTCGGACTTTGAAAAAAAGTATGGGGAAGCCTTTCCGAGTCTCGCGGGTATTGTTGTTGGGTGGGAAAATTGTTATAAAGCCGGAACCTCTTCCTGGTGTCTAGTTGGCTTCTAATTTTTTGCCAATCGCTTGATTTCTTAGACGAGGATCATGTTTAGAACGAAGATCAATTTCGGGTTGAAAAGGTTTCCATTGAAGCTACGCAGGTTCAATTCTAATTCTACCAGTTCTCCGGTGAAAAATGCTTATTTGCAGAAGCCGATTATCTTTGTCGGAGGTGCGCTCTGTGGTGTCATTGCAATGCACTTTCTTGGTGGGCAAAGAGTAGCCTCCAGTATTCAAGAGGAATTTAAAGCTGCTGATGATGTGACAATTGCAACTGCCAAACACTTTGCTGAGAAGCGAAAGGAAGATAGGTCTACTTTACCATTGAATGAGTTGAGTCTGCCTCAGTACGCGAGCTTGGATCAGATAGATACTGCCGTAGCCAGGATAAAGTCAATTGTTGAGGTTGTAAGCAACGACCAGGCAGAATTGGACTCGCATTCAGATACATACTTCAATTCCCATCACCCTTCCCCCACTGAAAGGCCAAGATATATTGTTTACCCTAAACTGACAGAAGAAGTTTCCCAGGTATTAAAAATTTGCCATGAGTTTAGGATCCCGGTTATCCCAATATCTGGCGGTTCGTCTTTGGAAGGACATTTCATCCCAACTAGGGGTGGGATCTCACTTGACATGACTGGAATGAACCAAATTGTCAACTTGAATGAGAATGATTTGGATATGACTGTCCAAACGGGTGTGGGATGGGAGACCTTGGCTGATTACCTTGAACCATATCGGTTGATGTTTGGACCGGACCCTGGCCCAGGAGCTAATATTGGAGGAATGTGTGCTACAAACTGTTCTGGAACCAATGCTTCCAAATATGGAGAATGTTATAAAAATATATTAAGCTTAACTGTTGTATTGGCAGATGGAACTATAGTTAAAACTCGTCAGAGACCCAAAAAATCTTCTGCTGGATACAATTTGACATCTTTATTTATCGGTAGTGAAGGAACTCTTGGAGTTATTACTGAGGCTACTATCAAGCTTCACGTTAAACCAGCATTTGAAACTGTCGCAGTTGTGCCCTTCCCTAAAATTGAGTTGGCTGCAGAGGCTGTCAATTCTATTTTGAAACATGGAATTGAACTTAACGCAATGGAATTGATGGATGATAAGATGTTGAAGTGTGTAAACGAAAGTGGTGGGACTACTAGAAAGTGGACTGAATTGCCTACGTTGTTTTTCAAGATAGGAGGTTCAAATGAGGCCATCATAAACAATTTGGTTGCTCAATTGAAAGGTATTACTGCAAAGTATGGAAATAAGGAATTCTTGTTTGCTACAGATAGCGATGAAAAAGAGGAATTATGGGCCGCAAGAAAAGTAGCTCTTTGGTCCACGATTGATCAAGGAAAACTAAAGAATGAGAATATTCAGCTTTGGACTACAGATGCAGCTGTGCCAATTTCCAGATTACCCCAATTTCTTAAGGAAACAAAGCAAGATATTGACTCTCACGGGTTAGAAAATACTTTAGTTGCCCATATTGGAGACGGGAATGCTCACAGTTTCATTTTGTATGACCCAAGCCAAAGAGCAATTGCCGAAAAAGTGGTAGATAACATGGTAAGGAGAGCCATTAACTTTCAGGGCACATGTACTGGGGAGCATGGAATTGGGCTAGGCAAACGTGAATTCTTGTTGGAGGAACTCGGTGATGTTCCAGTTGACTTAATGAGGAAATTAAAGCTTAGCTTGGATCCTTTAAGAATTTTAAATCCAGATAAGATCTTCAAAATCGATCCTAATGAACCTGCAGAGTATCACAATTAAATCAGAGTCCTTCTAAATAGAAAATTATATAATAAAACTTGCTTACTTCATGTCATGGTTGAATGTTTATTTACAATCTTTAGACACCCCAGTTATTTTATAATATACTATTTTTGGGTGCAAATTTTCATACTGCGTATAAATCATTCTTTTGGCTTGTAGTTTGGTATACTGAAAGTTGTTAATTTCTTAACTTATGGTACGTATATAAAGCTGCCAGATATCAGCTCCAGTATCATTAGAAACCCAGACTATCTCTTGCGTTGTCTTTGTATCATTGTAAAGTCGGTTCTTAACTCAACTCCATGCAGATTGCAACATTTTTAGTTTTGTGTCACTTCATCATCATGATAAATAGAAAAACAAACACTAACGATGCTAATTATAACCCTTTCATTAGCTCTAAAATGGCGGAACAAAATATATCTGTAAGCACAATTGCTCGTTTATTCAAAGAGGTTTCATTCCAGGATGACAAGACTCGAATTGCGACCAAAGCTTTAGAGCTATCTGCCGAGTATATTCGACTATTCACGAGAGAAGCCATATTGAGATCAAACGAAGAGAGATTGAAAGAAGATTCCTTATTGAAGGTTGATGGAATAGACAATGTAGAAAGACAACGTAGGATCGAAAGCAAACACGAAGGAATTGAAGCTACGGTGGCAGACACAACCATGCAAATGGAAGCGGAGGATGAGGATGAAGTGCCCACCACTGATCTCTCCAGTGACATTGACATACCAGATGATTATGCTACACAGAAAGGAAACGCGTATAATGACAATGTAGATTTGGATAATGATGTTTTAGATGCAAGGCATTTAGGCAAGATCGCCGGAATATTAATATTGGACTTCTGAAACGATTACCAGTAGACAAAATAGCAAAGAGAGAAAGCATCCTCAGGAGGAAAGCGGTGCTTCTATTCAAGTGTGCTGCCTTGAAACTAATCTATGGAGTAACTATTTTGAAATTTCCCAATTCAACTACACTCCAATACGTAAGTTTGAAAGGCTGACCGTCCATACTTGTTTCTAATGCAAAATGTAACGGGATTTTAAGGTCAACATTCTCGCCTGCACCACCGATAACGACAAATTTCATTTGCACCAGTGACCAACTTGTACTCGACTCAATGGGAACTGTTGTATCGAAAGATTCATCAAATGAATCCTCAAGGTAAGAAGTATTGGCATCCGTGGAACTTCCATGTCTTAGCATTAACTCTGTCCTGGAGTTTTGGGTAGCTTCACTCAAGAAGGATGTCGGTATGGATTTTAAAATGGATTCCTTTTTAGAGTCCAGCTTCGGTGCAAGAAGTACAGTAGATGCTGTGGGTAGAGTCACATTTACCAGAACGGATGTATTATCAAAGAATTGCGTGGGTAACTGTGATATGGTGGATATCTTGACTGAGTTTTTTTGGTTATGGGGATTTATGAGATGTATTGATACAGAATTTGGAATCCCCAGTATTACAGATGATGATGACGAGGTGACTTTAACGGTAGGTATAACTTCTACTGCATTATTCTTTATTGGAAATTTCAACAGAACTGGTAACGGTTCCGGTTGTATCACAACTGTTGCACATTTATCGCATAGTAATGACTTCTTAGCCCGAAGGGTCTTAGGTATGGGAAGTGTTTGAAACGGATGATTGTAGGAATGTTGGTGAATAGAACTCTGCTGCGGTATTATAGCTTCAGAATTGAGCCTTTTATTTGCTTCTTCCTCATCCTGGTTTGTATCAAATGCAATGGGTTTGATTGTAATAATCTGATTTTCAAGCTTCTCAATTTTAGTAAGATTATCTGATCCAGATAGTTTCTTTGTAAGGTTAGTTAGATTTAAATTTGTCAATTTTGCTAGAAGCTCTGGGGATATCTTTCGTGATGATCCGCTGGGCCCTACATCTGCAGATAAAAGTTTATTGTAAGAAACTGTGCTCTTTACTTTGATTTGGAATTGATGAAACATTTCTGCTTCCTTATTATTCTCTTCATTTTCTGATTTGAGAATGTTCAATAGTGACTTTGGTTTATCTATTATTCCCGTAGAGTAGCTGAAATCACAATAAGTACATGAAAATTTGAATTGTTTGGATTTCGGTGGGATCGTTTTTGAAGTTATAGTCAAACGTGAGGAGCATTTAGGACAATCGAAACAATTTTTGGTACAGTAGACTGAGCTAGTCCCGGTGTGATCTATCATGCAACTGGGGCAGAACTTTGATTCATATTTCGGTGTTAGACATGCTGTACACTTTATACAACGACATGATAAGCAATAGTAAAGTTTAGGAAGCGAATGCAAAGGAAATGACTGATTTTCAGTGAAGAGGTATTTCCTTGCGTTCAAAGAATCTGAGCTGCTTAATTTGGATGTCGTACACGCACATATGAATTGCGTGTTCGAGTATATCTTCGACATAACCCTAGGCGAACTAGTGTGACAAGGTAGTCCGGGATGATAAGAGAACAGTACTGTGAAAGCGCTAACTCGTAAACCTCAATCAAAAAGTTTGACGCGAAAATGAAAAATGCAACTTTGGTGGGCCAAAGAGAGACTAGAAAGCTGCAAATAAGGAATATAAAACCAAAATACAGTTGACGAAGTCTGGATACGGACCTTGTTGCTAAAACGGCATATTAAGAATGAAGAATTTCCCATCTGAAGAAAAACAATGAAAGAAAATGATCTATTTGAACACAGGTTAGCTCCCTTGTTACTTTAGTACTCAAGGCTGATCTGAGATCTTTCCCACCACAGAAAAATAATTCGAGATGGTCCGAAATAGTTCCCACTTATTGCAATAATGCGGTCTCAGTTCAGGAACAGTCTCCACTTCTTCTTCAGCTCTTGCATATCAGACTCCCTCTATTCATCATACACCCTCCCCGGACACTCCTCCATTTACATATGCTGCTTTATCGTATTCTAATACCGTTCAGCTACTTGAAATATTTTCTCCATCTAAAATTAAACTTTTTCTTCTATGCGGCACCATGCATAAGTTTGATTACATGCTTACACACTGAAGAACAAAGATGCTTCAAATCTCAGACAGGCTTAGGTTATTGACACACTATTGCTCTGGATACTATAAGCTCCAGCCAAGTTATTTCTTCGCTCACATAGTCATAGAAATACGGATCATCTTCTAGAACTTTGTTAAGTTTCCAACTATGTTCACTTGGTTACCAATCTCGTTGCATACGTCATTTTACTTCACGATATTGTCGTACTTGGTCCACGTGTTGCTGCAGATGAGCTGTGGTATGCATATTTCTTTTTGAAAACTAGCAAGGTCACCTTGGGGTTGATTCGTATATAAACAAACAGTCTCTTTGCTTTACCACTTGGTGCTTGTTTCCATCGACTTTCGAGTTTACTCATTATGAGACTATTTCAGTATTACATCTTTATTTTAAGCTTTTTCGACCTTGCTTTCGCTTCGAGGAGGAAGTCATCGCCAGACATATTCAATAATGGATTACTTCCATCACACTATTCGGTAGTTACCGGGTTCTTCAAGCAAGACGATGATCACACAGAGGCTGAAGAGTTCGATGTGATAAAGGAGCCCAACTTTGGGTTGAAACATGACGCTAGTTGGTCCCAAATATTGGATTTCATTGATAGCCATAACGAAGAAAACTTTAACCAGGGCGAAGCGTACAAGTTGATGTTTTTGGCAAGACATGGAGAAGGATTCCACAATGTTGCTCCCCAGAATTATTCTCACATGGATTGGAGGTGTTTTTGGCAAGTTCGGGAAGGGGATGGGGTAGTCAACTGGTACGATGCAGAGCTAACTGACAGTGGAATTGAACAAGCGACGCTGCTCTCCAATGCTTGGAACGCAAATTTACAGGATAACAAGGACCCAGTGCCCTTGCCTAAATCGTACTATGTTTCACCATTGAGACGGACATCCCAAACCTTCCACTATACGTGGGCAGCGGTTACGGAATATTTCACTGAGAATAATGCCGAAGACTTTGCACCTGTGGTAAAAGAATTGTCAAGGGAGACGTACGGGATCGGCACGGAGAGTAAAAGGCACTCAAAATCATACATTCATGAACGTTGGCCCTCGTTCAAGTTTGAAAAGGGGTTTAGTGAAGAAGATTTACGTTGGGAGAAAGATTACCATGAGTCCAAAGAGCATAGAAACTATAGAGCTACGTTACTTTTGAATGATATATTCAGCAATGACGCCAGCACTGTCATATCGCTTACGTCACATAGTGGACTCATCAGTAGCTTATTGAAAGTGATTGACCATAGGAAGTTCCCCTTAGGAACGGGTCAGATGATTCCTGTATTAATTAAGGCAAGCGGGCCAGACTCGTTCAAGAAACCCAAGCTTACTGAACCATGGACAAGCTTCAATGAGCAATGCAAGGACTACGACAGTTTGCATGAGAATCAACTGGTTTTGAAGCTCTCATCACCATTATAATTCTGAGAAATAACCAGAACTTCTGTTATTAATATACCTTTATATATATATAAATAATATAAATACATTATTACACACCCCCGTTTCGATATCAATCAGTAGGACAAGCTCTAATACTCTCTATATGCAAGCACCAATGTATAGCCCCAATCCATCCCCTCGTCCAAACAACTTACATAAAGTCGTCATCACCGAAGTTATCGTAGTCCATGTCATCGTATTCGTCCTTCTTGAAACTTTCGGTGACATTGGTCTTAACTGCTGGCTTAGCCTTCTTCTTCCCTGCCCCACCAGTAGCAGTACCACCGGCCTTCTTTAATCTGGCAAGTCTTTCAGCCTTTTCTTTGTCCTTAATGACAATATTCAAGGTGGATATAACCTTTCTGACATTTTCGATGGATAAAGGTTGGGCAATATCTCTGATAAGATCTACCGCTAAACCACTGGAATAGTTCATCAAGGAGTCTTCAGCCAAGTCTGTGAGTACTGGTGCCAAGGTCTTCCTCAATTTAACAAATTCTTCCTTATCAGCTGGTTGGAAGAGAGGGTGGGTTTCAATTGGAGTGTCTTTGGTCAATCTGGCAACTGGAGGTGGAGCCTTTGCGGCGGCCGCGGCGGCAGCTCTTTCTCTTGGGTGTGCGGTGAGGTCGAAGTCTTCATCATCTCCTGCAACTCCCAAGCTACCGAACAAGTCAGCAGCATTGTTTAAATCGGAGCTTAATTGAGCCTTCTTCAATGCAGCAGCTCTATCGTCTTCACCCAAGAGATCAACGTCGAGGAGTACTGGATCACCACCCTTTTTGCCGGTTAATTTCTTAGCCTTAGCCTCGTTTTGCTTATTCTTCAAAGCTTCCTTTTCAGCTTTCTTCTTGGCTTCTTCTTCAGCCTTTCTAGCCTTGAGTTCATCTTCATCCACGTCCCAAGATTCTTCTAAGAGTGGTTCATCATCTTCTTCGTCTTCCCAAGAGGCGGCAGCAGCTGCAGCAGGGGTTGCTTTAACAGGGATGTCAAAATCTTCGTCGTCCCAGGACATTTCGCTTAGTTTTATCTGGTACAAGTGTGTCTTAGCTGGTTCAACTGTAGTGGAGGTGTTTTCTCTTTCGTTCCTTTTCCATTTCGGTTTTCTTTTTTTTTTTTTTTTTTTTTTTTTTTTTTTTTTTTTTGGCTTAAATTTTTTTTAAAATTAAAGAAAAAAAAAATGCAACAAAATATTAGTGGTTAAAAAAAATAGTGTGGAAAAAAGGAATATTTATAAA